CGTGCCTGCACTGCTGGCCAAAGCCAAGGGGAGCTGGAGCTTGGCCCTGGCTGGGACCTTCCCTCCCTCTGGGGCAATGCAGGGAGAGGAAAGCCCAGCACAGGGGGGCTGGCACCTCGCAGGCTGTGCCACCTGCCCCCTCAGCCCAGCTCCTGCCAGCACCAGGCAGGCTGGAGGTGACCAGGGTGCTGTGGCTCTCCTCGCCCTGCTGCAGCTGATTGATGTGGGCACACCAGGCTTGCCCAAAGGATGGAGCTGGGGGCACGTCCTGGGCACTGCCAGGCTCCTGGCATGGGCAGGGCTGTTTGTGAGAAGGGATGCAAGGGGGGATCTGGTGCTTCAACAAGTGTGTGCTGATGGTCCCTGGCTCTCCCACAGGCAGAGTGAACTGATTGGCTGCATGAGCTTTGGTGTGAAGTCCCTCCTGTCCCTGGACAAGGTACCTCCCTGCTGGAATGTCATCTGTGGGGCTGGGGCCTGGCTCTCTGGGGTCAGTGGGTGGATCCAGTGCATCCCTGGAGCAGAAGCAGGGTTCTTCCATCCATGGGAGAAGGTGCTCAGGGAGTTTCCTGGTCCCATTCCCAGCATGGATGGCCTCTGTGGGACTGGTGTTGGTGTGATTGCTTGAATGCAATTGTTGAATGATTGTTGGTGGAAGCAGGGATGGGGGGAGGGATCCTGGGACAGGGGACTGCCACTCCCTTCTGCAGGGACACAGAGCAGAACTGGGGGTGCAGAGAGGTGACCCCAACACGTGCTGCCTGCCCAGCATCCAGCAGGGCTGCCTGGGGCATCTGGGACCAGCATTTGTCAGCCTGGCCTGGGTCACATCTGACATGTGGTTCATTCCCCCAGAGGGTGGTTGGCACTGAACAGGCTCCCCAGGGCAGTGGGCACAGCCCCAAGGCTGCCAGAGCTCCAGGAGGGTTTGGATGATCCTCTGGGGCACAGGGGGCGACTCTTGGGAATGATCCTGTGCAGGGCTGAGGGTTGGGCTGGATGATCCTTGTGGGTCCCTTCCAGCTCAGCACATTCTGGGATTCCTCCAAGGAGGAATTTGCCGGTTCCCTGTGCTCACCAGCAGTGGGCAGAGGGCAGACTCGGAGGTTTTGGCTGTTCCTGGAGGAATCCCTGTCCCTGCGGGTTTGGTCACAGTGCTGCTGCCCCAGCCTGGCTGTGTTTGGGAGTACAGCTGTCACGGCAGATTTGCCTTCCCAGGGCAGCCTGCAGGGAAACGGCTCCCAGCGACCCACAAAACGTGGGAATGTTTCATCCCGGCAGGGATTCTGTGCCTGGACAGCCCTGGTCATTCCTCTGGACAGCAGAATATCTCAGCAAGCTGGAGGGGTTTCGTGGAAGTGTTAATACATCCCCTGAGCTCACAAAATCACAGAACATCCTGAGCTGGAAGGGACCCTCAAGGACCATCCAAATCCAACTCCTGGCCCTGATCAGGACAGCCCAAGAATCCCACCCTGTCCCTCAGAGCATTGTCCAAATGCTTTTGGTTTTTTAGATTTCCACACCTGGGGTGTGGAAATTCTCTTCATAGCAGGAGCTATGAAGGAGCTACAAAGGAGCTGCTGGTGGCAGTGACCTGAGGAGAGGCTGAGAGGCAACTCGAGCATGGCCCCCTTTTGAAATGTGGGCAAGTGAGGTGCAGCTTTCTTATGGCAGTGAAGATAATGAGGCAGAACAGCTCTGATCTCCAGCTCCCCCCAGCATGGGTTTCTGCTCTGATCATAATTGTCCCCCCACCCCGAGATGTCCCTTCCCTCTCAGATTTGGGCAGGGAGTGCAGTGTCCCTGCACACAGAGCAGGTGGAGTGTCCCTGTGAGAGCACCCACACACAGCTCTCACAGGGTGGGAGGAGGCTGCTGGGGGCACGTGGTGCTCCTGGGACCTCAGCAGGGCTGAGATGGGCTGGCCCTGTCCCCTGGGTGCTGCATGATGCTGCTGGATATCCCCCCTCACCCCCCCTTTGCTCAGTTTCCTTGTTGTGGATTTAAAATGCTCATTTTAAACTGGGCCCCTTCCCCTGGGACCTTCTTGTAACCCTGTCTGACTCCTGGGGTTGGTCCCCCTGGAGCAGTGGGAGGCAGTGGCAGCTCCCTGGAAGAGGGGTGAGGGATCACCGGGGTCAGCCCTGTCCTCTTGGCCACAGGGGTGGGCCAGGGGCAAAGGGATCCCCCTGCAGAGCACCTGGCACAGCTGAGGGCTGGTGTGGGCACCCTCCTGTGGGGACATGGCTGGAGCTGTGTCCTCCCTGTGACACTGCTGGCTGCTGCAGGCACCAGAGGGACAGTTTTACTGGACACCAGCTGCTTTTCTGCACTTTGTCCCCCTCTAAAAAAGCTGGAAGCTTGTTGCTTCAGCGATGCTTGATCCCTCCTTGCAGGGAGGTTGGGATTTTAGCTGTTGCTGTGTCCTAGGAGAAGGACTCTGGGCTGTGTGCGTGTGTGTGTGAGAACAGAACCTCTGTGTGCTGTGAGTGCTCCTGGGGCAGCTCCTGCACTGGGACCCTCTGGGGGTGTGGGCTGAGTGAAATGGGGGTGAAATCTGCCCCTGCCTCCACAGCTTCTTCCCTCCCCCAGGAGATCAGTGGCTGGTACTTCCTCCTCGGGGAGGACCTGGGCAGGACCAAGCACCTGAAGGTGGCCATGAGGCGGCTGAAGCAGAGCACAGGTGTGTCTCCCCACGGGAATGTCCCAGGGAGTGTTGGCAAGGCTTGGAAGAGGAGTCAGAGCCTTGTGCCTGACCCTGTGCTGGTGTGGAGCATCCCCAGCCCCCCTGCACCCTGTGCCCCCACGGGCACTGCTCACCCTGTGGTGCTCACCGGGCACTGGGATCCCAAAAACTGGTGTGGCTGAGACCTTGGCTGGCTCAGCAGGCTCTGCTTTGCACTTCAACCTCCCTCCTGCTCACCTGGGGCTCTGTGGGGATCCCAGCACTCCAGCCATGCCTTTCCCTCTTGCTTGGCCTTTCCCCAGGCTGACTCCTGACTCAGCTCTGGGGCTGAGTGCTGTGGCTGGGCTCTCTTTTGCTCCTGGGCTCTCTGTGCAGGATGATGGGGAGGTTCTTCTCCTGCCTCGGTCTTGCTGTGCTCCAGGGCAGGGTGGGACAGCAGTGCCTGTCCCAGGTGGGCAACCACCCTGGAGCTGCTGCCTGGAGGGGATGTGCCCATGTGGTGTGTAGATGCAGTGTGGAAGGACAGGGATTGTCAGGAGATATGTGCCACCACACTGATAAGGTCTTTCCCGGTTTTTTTAATCTTTGATTTTTTGTTTCAGAGCCGGTCCTGGGAAGTCAGAGTGCAGCTGAGGAGAGCCAGGATGCTGTGACCCTGAAGCAGCTGAAGGTGGGTATGACAGGACTGTGAAGACATGGGGTCAGGTACCTGCATGGAGGGGTTCCAAAGGAGCCAAGGGACAGTGTGTTAGTGAGGGTATGCCCGGGTGAGCTCTGTCAGCTCCCTGTCACACCGTGGCTGTTACAGGGAACTTGTTATTCTGATCCAGCACCAGTTGTGGACGAGGGTGATGGAGTTAACAACCCCCACACTGCCTGTTGCTCCAGGGACCAGTTTTTCCAGTATATTCCCACACAGAGAGCCCCCTGGGAGCAGTGGGACAGGGCTGGCAGGCTGCCTGCCCACGGCATCATCCCTGGCCGGCTCCGTGTCTCTGGGCGCGTCTGCTCCTCTGCTCCTCCTTCCAGGGCCGTGTGCTCTGGGAAGGGAAAGGCCCGTGGTGGAGCCTCGGTGATTTATAGGAAAGGCAAGGATGGGAAACTGGAACACAAACACATGGTTTGCCTCGGAAATGGGGCTCGGGCGGCCCCGTGATTTATCTGGGCCGGATTCCGCTCTGAGCTTCCCTCAGCTGCATTTGCAGTTATTTGTTTGAGGGCGCAGGACCGAGCAGGACAAACAAAGCCAGCGCCCCTCTCCTCCCTTCCTCTCCGGCAGTCGCCACGGACTTGAAAGGTGGTGGCTGGGAAGGAAGGCTGATCCTCCTTCCAGCTCCAGCTCCAGCTCCAGCCAGGCAGTGCTGGGACAATGCTCCTGGAGCAGCCCGGGCAGTGCCTCCGATGGCTCCATGCTAGGAGTCCCCTGGGAATGCTGGGGCTTCTGAGCTCCATCCACACTCCCCTGTCCCTGCCACCCCATCTGCAGTGTGAAGGAACCCAGGGTTTGGGTTCCCTCGAGCCTTTTCTCCATTTTCCATCCCCGGGTAGGAGCGTGGAAGGTGTTTTTATTCTCCACCAGAACCTCATCTTCAAGGAATTGGAACCCCATCTCCAAGGAGTTGTGCCTAACTCTGTCATGCAGAGTTAAGGGCTGTGAGCCCTGCTGTGTGCCCTGCTGCTGGCTCTGCTGAGAGTTTCTCTCGCTCTTTAATTCCCAAATTACACCAGGAGTGCAGTTCAGTTGACCTCTCTGCTCCCCCTCTGTGACTGTAGGAGCACAAAGCCACTGGGACATGTGTGTATCCTCTGGGGCTGCGCTTTCAAAAACAAACTCTGCTCTTTCTTTTTAAAAAAAAAAAAAACACCGAAAACAAACCCAAACCTCTTATTTTTTGATGAGTGTGAGTTGCCTCTTTAATGGAGTGAAGCTCCCACAGCCGGTGCCTGTGAAACGCCGCTCACACATCCTCCGAGTGTTTGTGAGAGCGCTGCAATAACAAAGTGCTCCGTGCGGCCGGAGAATGCCACGGGAACAAAAGCCACATCAACAGAGCGGGGGCTAGGGAATACTAAAGAGTTGACAGGAATTTTAATATAAAACTCTCTCCCTTCCTTGTCAGCGAGGGCTTTCAGGAAGCCTCTGGCTTATCGTGGCGCGGCACACGGCCCAGGCAGGGGCCGGGGAGGTGAAAGGTGGCTTCCTGCCATTCTTCTGCGGAGCTGGGTTCCCATGGGCGGTCATGCCAGCGTGACTGGGGCTCGCTCCGCACTCGTGCGACACGAGCAGCTCGGGATCGTGGCTGCTGCGGGGCCAGTGGATTTTCATGGGCTAGCGGCGGGCTCGGGGTGTCCAGCCATGAACCGCGTCAATGGACTGTGCAAGGTGTGCTCGGAGCGCAGATACAGGCAGGTCTGTGCCCCTGGGGCAGTGTGGGGCTGGGAGCCTTGCAGGAGTGTCGGGGGCTTCTCCTGCCAGTGCTGGGCTCTGGGTGTGCTGCTTCTCGCTACCGTTAGAATTTATATATTTAAATATGTGATTATATTTAGTACGAATGTTTAATATAAATATATATGTAGATATAATTGCATATTGGTATAATTCCCAAATTATGACATTGGGAATATAAGGAAAGCATCTTCAGATGGGTGGCTGTGGCTGATCTCTGCCTGTTGCTGCAGTGGAGAGATGGGGATAAAGGGATATTTATATATATATACATATACATATATATACATATACATAAATACATACACATATATATGTCTATATGCACGTATGTATCAAAATACATAATCTAATACGAATATATTTTATTTATATATAAAATAATATTAAAATACCTAACTCGGATATGAATACATTTTATTTAAATATAAAAATGCATTCACTATGCATGGGGACAGTAACAGAATTGAGTTGCGAGGTGTTGTCTTAATTTCCCCCTCATCAGGGGCAAGGCAGGCACAGCAGGCTGCTACTGTCTCTTTTTGAATTGTCTTAGTGTATTTGGGAGCCAACAGCAACTTGCTTTCTGAGGAGCAGCTTGCTGTGCTCTGTGGAAGCTGGGTTGCAGTCCTCTCTTGCCTGGTGTGCAATGCCAGCTGTTGGTTTTCCACGTGCATTTCCCAATCTCCTGCACTTTCAAACAGGTTTCTCCTCTGTGCTCTGGGTCGGGATTCCCGGCTCAGGTTCAGCTTCTCCCTGCACTCCTGTGCTCACCTTTCAGGTTAAGCTAAAGCTGCTGTGGGAAGCAGTGAATGCTGGGGATTTCAAAAGCAGCAGTTTAACCCAAACAGTGAATGCTGGGGATTTCAAAAGCAGCAGTTTAACCCAAACTGCCCAATTCTTGCCGGGGCTGTAGTGACCGTTCCATGCTGGTATTAATGGCAACTGAGTCTGCTTTGTGTCTTAGACCCTCTCAAGGCTCTATTTTGATAATTTCTTCTGCATTTTTTGACAAAATTTGGGTACAACGAGCCTCTGTGGTGCTGGAGTCTCTCCCCACCTGCCCACCTACCCACCTCCCATCTCGTGCCAGAGTTCTTTAGTTCTGTGCACAGCAGAAAAATGGGCAAAAAATCATCTGCCTGTGATGGCCATGGAGGTGGGAACTGAGGAGAAGGAACCAGCAGGGAGAAGCTGCTCTTTAGTGGCACAGGGAAGGGGTCTCTGCTGGTGGGGGACAAGAGCCAGCCAGCTCAGGGAGAAGGAGTGGGAGACCTCGAAGCCCTGGGCTGGGAAGTGCCCATGGAGTCTCCGTGGTGGGAGAGATGCTGGGCTGGCTCCTGAGGTGCTGCAGGAGCTCAGATCCCCTGTGCTTGGCACTGGAGGTGGAATCACAGAATGCAGAATATCCTGAGCTGGAAGGGACTCAGAGGGATCAGTCCTTGTTGGACTGAGCTTGGTTTGAAGGTGCAGAGCCACCTCTCTGAGGATCCAACAAACTGCAGAGAGCAAAGGACTCAGCGTGGTGGGACTGCACCTACGTTTTAATCTTGCCAGGGAAAGGCAGTTTCTCTTTTGAAACCTGATTTTATGCCAAGCAGGGACAAGGTGCAGGGAAATGAAAGCTCTCTGCATTTGTAAAGGAGCAAGGGACCAGATCTCCTCCTTGGCAGCTTCTGCTGAATTCCTCTTCTCTCTGACTGTTTGTTCTCAAAATAATACAGGTCAGAGGTTGGATTTTTAATTTTCTTTTCTCTGTCAGTAAAACAAGCATCTTGACTAATGTCTTGGGGGCTAATCAGGTATTTACAGGATCTGTCATGCTGAGCTGCTGCTGGAAGCCAACGTCAAAAAATAAGTATCATTTCATTAATAAGCTCGATGCTCCTTGAATCAGGGGGAGAAATGAGCCTAAATCAACACAGCATCCAGCCTCTCCAAACTCAGCAAGGGAAAACACACTCAGCCCAGGGAGAGGGTGATGCACACAGCCTGGGCCAGCACAGATGCCTGGAGGACAGGAGCTTGCTGAGCCTCACAGTGTCCTCCGGAGCAGAGGAGAGCTGCTCGTTCTGTGTTATCCAACAGGAAATGAAATGTTCAAGTAACTTGCTTACAGGAGTTGTGTTAGAAATCAGAGCCATGTTGCCAGGTTTTCCTTCCTAATGGCTTGTAAGACCTTTCCTTACACTTGCAAGAGTTGGGAGCAGAGACTTGTGTGTGTGCTTAACAAACACTCCTTTTGTGGCATTCCAGAGATCCTCGGCTGGATTTGGTGTTGCTTTTTAGCACCTTTTCTGCCTCCCTTTGGCTGCAGCAGGGAGAGACCCATTGTTTGTGAGGGTCAGGTAGTGACAGCCCTTCCCTGTGACTGTTCCTTCTCAAAATCACAGAATCCCAGAATATGCTGAGTTGAGAGGGACCCACAAGGATCATCGAGTCCAACCCTCAGCCCTGCACAGGCCCATCCCCAAGGGTCACCCCCTGTGCTCCAGAGGATCATTCAAACCCTCCTGCAGCTCTGGCAGCCTTGGGGCTGTGCCCACTGCCCTGGGGAGCCTGTTCAGTGCCAACCACCCTCTGGGGGAAGAACCTTTTGCTGAGATCCACCCTGAGCCTGCCCTGACACAGCTCCAGCCATTCCCTGGGGGCTGTCCCTGGTCCCCCCAGAGCAGAGCTCAGTCCTGCCCCTCCTCTGCCCCTGCCCAGGCAGTTGGAACTGCACGGAGCTCTCCCCTCAGTCTCCTCTGCTCCAGCTGAACACACCAAGTGCCCTCAGTGTCCTCACACGGCTTCAAATCAAGGCCCTTCCCCATCCTCGTTGCCTCCTTTGGACACTCTCCAATGGCTTCAGATCTTCCTCACTCTGTGGCAGTGCTGTGTTCCTGTGTCCCCAGAGGCTCTGGGGCAGAGTGGGTGAGGGTGATGGGGGGGTTGCTCTCCCACTGACCAGGCTCTGCTGTCTCCCTGCAGATCACGATCCCTCGAGGGAGTGATGGCTTTGGTTTCACCATCTGCTGTGACTCCCCAGTCCGTGTGCAGGCCGTGGACTCTGGTAAGAGATCGGACCATGTTTGTCCCTCTTGGTTTGACTGAATGACTCCACTCCTTCTTTGCTTCCTGGAGCATGTGGTGATTCTGAAGCTCCTATGCCTTGCAGGACTCTGGTTCCCTCCCAGAAACTTCACTTGATGAATTCCCTGGTGCCTCTAAAGAGCTCAGAGGCCACTGGGCTAACACTGTCATTATTCTGACAGGGTTTTGCAGTAATTTGCAGAGATTTTGTTCCCTTTCCTCTCCACCCTCAAAACTGTCCAGCTGGTTTGGAGACCTGTAGAAAGCGTCTGGGTTGGGATCAGGTCAGGTAGGACACAGAAGGAGCAGGACTATGGGAGCCCTGAGCTGCTGGAGTAGATCCTCTTGCTGTGGATCTGTGGGATGGACTTGGTGTCTCCACTGTACCGTGGTGCTCCCCACTGCACCCCAGGAAACAGGGGAAGTTCCTGCAATAGCTCTGGGAGAGCATTTGTGGCTCTATCCTGGTGCTCTGTGTGTGTGTGATGCTGGAAGGTGAAGCTCCAGGTTACCTGGCCCCACTTCATTTCCAGGTGTGGGTGTTGGAGCAACAGATTGGCTTTGGAGGAGCGAGTGGTACCAGCTGTGAGATGTCTCCAAGCCCCAGGGCTTCTCCCCCTCCAACTCAGCTCGCTGTCCAGCAGGTGACTGGCCTTTGTGTGTCTCTCCCAGGTGGCCCAGCAGAGAAGGCAGGTCTGCAGCAGCTGGACACGGTGCTGCAGCTGAACGAGCAGCCTGTGGAGCACTGGAAGTGTGTGGAGCTGGCGCACGAAATCCGGTGAGTGTTCACCCAAACACCAGCGCAGGGCTCTGGGAGAGCTCAGCGCAGGAGCTTTGAGTGGTTACGGGAAGGGGAAGGCTCTGAGGGGTGCAGGACACTGGGAAAGGATCCCCTGGAGCAGAGGAAAGGACGCAGGGGCTGGGGAGTGCAGGCCAGGGTTGGAGGCACAGGGAGGAAGGACTGGCTGAGTGACGCGGGCGCCTCGCTCCCCTCTGCCCCATCTCTTGCAGGAACTGTCCCAGCGAGATCATCCTGCTGGTGTGGAGGCTGGTCCCGCAGGTGAAGGCAGGCCACGAGGGGATGATCCGCAGGTCCTCCTGCAAGTCCGCCTACGACCTGCAGTGCCCCCCGCACAAGCGGGAGAAGAACAGCGCGGGGCCCGGCCCGGCCGAGCAGCGCCGCAGCTGCCACGTCCTGTACGACAGCAGCGAGGGGCTGCTGCTCAACGGCTGGGACAGGTACACTGAGCTGGGCAAGAGGGGCCAGAACACCCTGCCAGCCCTGTCCCGGGTGCCCTCGGCCGCCGACCAGAACTACATCATCCTGACGCCCCTGAACCCGGGCAGCCAGGTAGGGCTGCAGTGGGGGGGCTGGGGGCGCTCTGGGCCCCGCTTTGGTCCTGCCAGTGTCATCTCTGAGTGTTTGCAAGGGCAAGGGACAGCTTTACAAGCCACTCCTGTGTCCCTTGGTGGAGCTTTCACTGTTTTCCTGAAACATTTCCCACTGGGAAGGCAGAACCAGAGAGGGGCAGCTCCGATCTCTGAGCAGGGACAGTCCCCAGGGAATGGCTGGAGCTGTGTCAGGGCAGGCTCAGGGTGGATCTCAGCGAAAGGTTCTTCCCCCAGAGGGTGGTTGGCACTGAACAGGCTCCCCAGGGCAGTGGGCACAGCCCCAAGGCTGCCAGAGCTCCAGGAGGGTTTGGATGATCCTCTGGGGCACAGGGGGTGACCCTTGGGGATGGGCCTGTGCAGGGCTGAGGGTTGGACTCGATGATCCTTGTGGGTCCCTTCCAGCTCAGCATATTCCATGATTCCATGTAGGCTGCTATCTCCTCTCAGGGCTCACTCCTGGGGTATGGGAAGGATATGGGAGTGTTTCTGCTGCACAGACCACAGTGAAAATCTCATTTTCTGCTGGCAATGGGTCAAAAATGATTTTGCCCTCTCTGAAGGGCTTTGGCTTGGCTGGGTTTGGCATGTTAAAATTTGCAGCTGGTTGTTGTAATTCTCCTTCAGTCCTGCTGCAGGTGACTGTGTCCTGTCTGGGTTGTGTCTTACAGCTGCTGAGGCCTGTCTATCAAGAGGACAACAGCACTGGGGGTAAGTTGTCCATGTGCTGGGAATGCTGCTCAGAGCACCCAGTGGATGAACAGGTCTTTCTGGCACTGTCAGATCCTTGCCCTTAGCCCTGCAATGGGGTCCCTCACGTTTTTAGGACACATTTTAGGACAGCCTGGGGCTTTTGGGTGGGGTCATCTTCCCTCCCTGAGCCCAGAGGGGAGAACCTCGTGGTGAGAAGGTGTGTGGGAGCTCAGAGAGGGCTGGTGGTGGGGACTTTCCAACAGGGGCAGGATGAAAGCATGAAGTTTGAAAGTGCAAACAACTGTGGTTCCCCACATGTGTCTGTGGGCCATCCATGACGTGTTTCCCTTCTCGTTCATGGTGCCTTTTTGGGGAGGGGGGGGGTGTTAATCCCTGCTATGAGGTTCCCTTCAGTCCTGAGGGAGTGAGGGTGGCTCTGACTCAGACTGGCACAAGCAGGAGAGCAGGTTGTTTGGCCAGATTTGGGGAATGCTCATGCCCTGGGTATGGTCTCTGGCAATCTCTGGACCAGCTCTCCTCAAAAAACCCTCAAAAAACCCATAAATTCATAGCATAAAACATACCTGTAACAGGTATGCTGGGTCTTCCTGGAGCTCCAGGTGTGGGAAGAGTGGGCTGGGAGTGTGGCAGGGCTGGGCACTGCAGGAATCCAGGTCCCTGTGGAAATACCTGTTGTCACCTCCCTGATTTGGGGGTTTTGGGAGGCTGTGCTTGCACCCTGGCCTGTTGGGATGAGCTGCATGTCCATGCAAGAGCTGAGCTGCCCGTTGGGATCTGGCAGGAGCGTCTGTCCCTCAGCAGGGGCACAGCTGGAAGAGTTTGTGCTGCCCTGGAGGGGGTGTGTGTAGAAAGCAGAGTGTGGGGGTGCTGAGGGGCAGCAGGGAGCAGTGTGGGTGTGCCCTGGGTGCTCCCAGCCCTGCAGCTCCGCAGCCAGGAGAGTTTTCCACACTCAGCTGCAGGGCATGTTTTGTTCCATGGATAATGGCAGCTCCTTCCTGCTGTTTGTGGATCCTGTGAAAAGATGAGCTGGACTGTGGGGCCTTGTTCTTACAGGGGGGTGTAATCTGAAAGACTTGGGCTTCTTCCCATGAGAATTTTTGGACTTTTTATGTATTGTTTTTAGCTATTTAATGTTATGTCTTCAGAGGGAGGAAGGGATTAGTTAACCTGGGCAGGGCTGAAATGTGGCAGCTCCAGTGGCAGGAGGTGACACTTGGGGCAGGCTGGGTGCAAAACCAGGGCTTGTTCAGGTGATGAATTCCTCTGATAAAGTGAGGTGATTTAGGGACAAGAGGAAAAGCAGGTCCTGAACAGCCCAGACAGATTGTATCTGCCCTGTGTTGAGCTGTCACTCGTGCTTTGATTTTATCTGGCAGTGCAACCACGAAAAAGGGAAAAGGGAAAATGTCAGGATTAATGCACTTAGAGGTGGAAACAACCTTTTAGGTCACCAGGGCCACCCCTGCAAAGGCAGCTGCTAAAGCCAGCAGTAAACAGCCAGGCTGGCTTGCCCCCCTCCCTCCAGTGCTGGCTGGCTCTGCTGCCTTTATCTGAGAGAAAATGCACTATTTCCTAATACTTAATGGAATATGTAATGGTGGGCAGGCTCATTTATTTGCTTTGGACGAGACCTTATCAACCCTGAGCCATGTTCAGGAATGTTTTGGCTCATTTCTGCTTGGGAAGGTTCTGGGTATCCCAGAAAAGGGCAGGAACCTGCTGTGGTGGGAGCAGGAGCTCCTGGCTGGCTGCAGGGAGGGAGGGAGGGATGGATGGAGGGATGGATGGAGGGATGGATGGATGGATGGATGGATGGATGGATGGATGGAGGGATGGATGGAGGGATGGATGGATGGATGGATGGATGGATGGAGGGATGGATGGATGGATGGATGGATGGATGGGATGGATGGAGGGATGGAGGGATGGATGGATGGGAGGGATGGAGGGATGGAGGGATGGGATGGAGGGATGGATGGATGGAGGGATGGATGGATGGATGGATGGATGGAGGGATGGATGGATGGATGGATGGATGGAGGGATGGATGGATGGATGGATGGAGGGATGGATGGATGGAGGGATGGATGGATGGATGGATGGATGGATGGATGGATGGATGGATGGATGGATGGATGGAGGGAGGGATGGATGGATGGATGGATGGATGGATGGATGGATGGATGGATGGATGGATGGATGGATGTTGGGGGGTCTCTGCTGGGAGAGGGAGCTGCAGGAGCTGCTCATACCTGTTCCTGAGACATCCCTGTGGATGTCCCCCCCTGTGGGGGAGGAGCTCCAGCTTCTCACCTGGATGTGTTAAATCCAAGTGGAGGGGGCTGCCTGCAGGACCTGAGCTGGCTCAGTTCATTAGCTTCAGGAGGGAGGAAGGGAGGAAATATTTTGATTTTGATTTGTCAGTGGGGCTTCTCTTGATGAAGACATGAATTTTTGGTTAGAGAGATACCCAGTTCCTGTTGGAGGTGTTGTCTGTGAGTTTTAGGACAGAGCACAGGTTTCTGGTGCCCAGCAGGACATGGTCTGGGGTTAAGGGCTCTGGGAGAACACAGACCTGTCCTGTTTTCTCTCCACAGCAGGGTAAGTCCTGCTGCTGTGGTGATGGAGGTCCTTGTGTGGCAGTAGAGGTGTGCACTGTGGGCCCAGGGACATCAGGGATGGCCAAAACTGTATTTGGGGTCACCAGAGAAAGCTGATGCCCCTGGGCCTGAGGGATTAAAGCCAATAATGGGAAATATTCCACAGGACACCTGAGAGCAGAGCAATGCCACTGGCAGCAGCTTGGCAGCTCCTTACTGCTTCTGATCCCGTGTTTTGGCCTCATCCTGGCTCAGTGGGATGGATTTGGGGAGGAGGACACACAAAGATGTCCTTGGCACAGCAGATCACCCCAAAAAGCCTCTGGGTGCTCAGGGCCAGCTCCCAGGACTGCCACTGTCACCTCATCCTGCTGGTGCTGGGAAAAGGGGAGGTTCAGTCCAGGCAAAGCAGCTCCAGAGCTCCCCATGTCCCAGAGCTGTCCTGACAAAATCATCATAGAATCCCAGGCTGGTTTGGGTTGGAAAAGACCCTGAAGATCATCCAGTCCCACCCCCTGCCATGGGCAGGGACACCTTCCACTAGCCCAGGATGCTCCAAGCCCTGTCCAGCCTGGCCTTGGACACTTCCAGGGATCCAGTGGCAGCCACAGCTTCTCTGGGCAACCTGTGCCAGGGCCTGCCCACCCTCACAGGGGAGAACTCCTTCCCACTATCCCATCTAAACCTGCCTTCTGGCAGTGAGAAGCCATTCCCTGTGTCCTGTCCCTCCATCCCTTGTCCCCAGTCCCTCTCCAGCTCTCCTGGAGCCCCTTTAGGCCCTGCAAGGGGCTCTCAGGTCTCCCTGGGTCCTTCTCTTCTCCAGTGGACCCCCCAGCTGTCCCAGCCTGGCTCCAGAGCAGAGGGGCTCCAGCCCTGGGAGCACCTTTGTGGCCTCCTCAGGATTTGTTCCAGCAGCTTCACATCCTTCCTGTGTTGGGATCCCCAGAGCTGGAGGCAGCTCTGCAGGTGGGGTCTCACAAAAAAGTTGATGGGAGCCTGCTGGATGTATTCCAAAGCATTCCACTCCTCTGGACTGGAGAAAGGGCTTGGGAATCCCACAGAGCAGCAATTGCAGTGGGGGATGGAGGGACTCAGCCCTGCAGCAGCAAGCAGGGAACAAAAACATTTGTGGATAATTTAATCACAGCATTATCAATTCCTTTAAAGATTCTGGGCCTGGTTTGCCATTCCACCTTGTGTCTCCTGGCCTCTAGTGATGCAGACTGGCAGCTGTGGAAGCTGATGTTGCCTTGCTGGGAAAGGTCACAGCTCTGCTGGACCAGCTGAGGTGGGACTGCAGAGGAAATCTGTGTAATCCCTGCTTTCAGGGAGGAGAACAGCTCTGGGCAGGGAAGAGGGACAGAGTGAAACACCAGTCAGGCTGCTTGGACTGTTTCCAGCACCAAAATGTGATGCTGCAGAACAGGGGATGGTGTGACAGCCTCATGCACAGTGAGGTCATCCTTTATAAATACACCCCATGTCTGAATAGCCACCACATCCCTGGGAGCAGTTTGGAAAGGCATGGACTGATCCCATGGGCATGAATGTGTTTATAATCCTTTCCCTGACACCTCCAATCTCAGTACCTTGTGATGAACCCACCAGCCAGTGCCCTATGTCATGACATTCCTGCACTTTGCCAACTCCCATGCCCAGAATCCAGAGCAGTCAAGGCTTGTGTGGATAAAAATGTTCTAATATTTAAATTTCCAGAGTTTTTCTTCTTTTTTTCCCCACCATGGATAGTTTTCCTCTCCCTAAAAAGGAGGGTCATAGTTCAGTGGTGCAGGCAGATATTCCCCAGTGGTGGGAAGCTCTTTGGTGCTCCTGTGATTCAAAAATATCTGTTCAAACTTGTGTTTGAGAGCAGACCCTGAGCTGGCAGTGGGCAGAGCGATGCAGGAGCTCCCTCCTCATTCTGAGCTTCTCTCTGCCTCCTCTGTCCACCCAGGGAATGCTCCTAAAGGGAAATCCCACACGGGGTCTGGGAGGAAATCCAGGCTGATGAAGACTGTGCAGTCCATGAAGAGCCACGGGAACTACCAGAACTGCACCATAGTGAGGCCCCACATCCCACACTCCTACGGCACCTACGTCACCCTGGCCCCCAAAGTGCTGGTGTTCCCCATCTTTGTGCAGGTGAGTGCAGCTGGAAGTGAGGTGTTGCAGACCTGAGGGGATCCGTGCCCAGCAGGGCAGGTGGGATCTCTTTCCAGCAGTCTCTTCCCTGAGTGCAGGGATCCCTGTCGTGCTCAGCCCTGCTGTGGAGCTGCCTGTGCTCAGCTCAGTGCTGGGGGCTGTCTCAAAGGGAATTGTGTCCTGCCCAAGTGATTCTCTGTTGAATTTCTTTTCCCTTTCAGCTTTCAAATCTAGTCCTCAGTGCTTGCTCCAGTCAGAAGGCACCCCAGCTTCTGAGCTTCAGCAACCACCTCTGTGATTGCAGATCAATGTGGTTCCTTCCCAAGGGTCCTTTGTGCTGTCAGTGTGCAAATGAAGGGGTTTTAGTTTAGCTGGTGACCAGCACTAAAATCACGGACAAGGATCCAGAGCAGTAGTGGTTTGACGGGGAATTTTCTGCTTCCCTGTTCCATGGGCTGTTTTAAGAAAACAGCCCTGAATTTGGAGATAGCAGCTGTAACTCCCTCTGTATTCCCTCCAATTTGTCCTTTGTATGGCCAGAACCCCAAGAAAACTCATCTAATCCCTATGTTTTAATATGCTGCTGATGGATCCCAGATCTCTGAGCTGCCAGGGCTCCATCCTGCCCTGGGAGCAGCAGTGGCACTGTCCCCTCAGCTCACACTGCTGACTTGCTCTGGGCTGAAACCATGGGCTGTGTTTCCTGTCACTGCAGCCTGAGCCAGGGGGCTGCCTGGGGCAGTGTGGGGCTGGTGCTGGGGCAGGGGTGTGCCCACCTCCATCCTCCCAGCGGCACCTTGGCACCAGCGTGTGCACCAGCCTGGGCTGGGCGTGGTTTGCCTTTGGTAGGAACACAGCTGGCACTTCTGCCTGCTCCTTGCTCCCAAAACTTGTCTTGGATGCAGACTGGGGTGTTTCTGCCACTTCAGGAGCCACTTCCATTTTGCTTGGCACTGTCTCACACTTCAGGCCCTGTGCAGGTCCCCTCCTGTTCCCACTGGCTGTGCTGCTCCTGAGGGTGGTCCTGGGCTGGTTGGGCCAGGTTTGTTGTGTCCCCAGGACACCTGAACCTGGTCCCTTTCTCTACCATTCCACAGAGAAGGTGGTGGATGGGGAGCTGAGCGTGGAGTGAGATGGGACAGGAATTCTTAAAGTTGCTTTAATTCACTGCAAGAACAATCCCTAAGATCACAACTGCTCGTGTCTGAGGGACGTGAGAACCTGCTGTGCCACCACTGTGGTTGTGTTTCCTGCTGAAAAACCCCTGTAAGCACCCCGTGCCTTGCAGAGCAGTCCCTGCACAGAGGCAAGGGCTGGTTGTCATTTTGCAGCTGGGGCTGACGTGGGTGTGAGTGGAAGGCTTTGTTTTCCCGTGTAGCTGGACTGCAGACTGCGTGTCCCTGTGAGCTCAGTGTGGGGTGGCTTCTCCCTGAATGAGTTACAGCTTGAAGTGAAGACAAAGTGGGGTTGGTGGGTGGAAAGTTATTCTGGCAAACCACGCTGTCAGTGGAAGGTCTGACTGTTCCTTTCATTTTCTTTTCTTTTTTTTCAACTCTCAAACACAGCCCCTCGATCTTTGCAACCCAGCCCGGACTCTGCTTCTGTCGGAGGAGCTGCTTCTTCACGAGAGCAGGAACAGGACTACACAGGTAAGGTTTTTGTGCTGTCTGAGCTTCCTAAACCTGCTCTCCTGCAGTCTGATGTAGGAGATTAATCACAGAATCACAGTGGTTTGGGTTGGAAGGGATCTTAAAGCTCATCCAGTCTTACCCATGGGCAGGGACACCTTCCACCAGCCCAGGTTGCTCCAAGACCTGTCCAACCTGGCCTTGGATACTTCCAGGGATGGGGCAGCCACAGCTTCTCTGGGCAACCTGTGCCAGGGCCTGCCCACCCTCACAGGGGAGAATTCCTTCCCAATATCCCATCTATTCCTGCCCTCTGGCAGTGGGAAGCCATTCCCCCTTGTCCTGCCCTCCATCCCTTGTCCAAAATCCCTCCTCAGCTCTCCTGGAGCCCCTTTGGGCACTGGAAATGACTTTGAGAAGGGACTGGAAGGGACATCTCATTACACTGAGAAGGGAAATATCTAATTGTGCAGCAATTATATTAATATGATACTTGAAAAAACTTGTAGCTGGTTTATTGTGGGATAAACTAAATAAATATCAAAACTCTGTATGTACTAGAAATCAACTTTTGTTCTTGTCTTCCTCTGGGCTCCCAGAGAGGAAACTGCATGTGACAAATACATGTCAGTGCCAGCCCAGCAGACTCAGGAGGAGGGAGCTGAGGGATATTTTGTACCAGCTTAGAGAATCAAAGGACAGAATTGTTCAGGCTGGAAGGGACCACTGGAGGTCATCCAGTCCCACCTTCCTGCTCAGACAGGATCCCCTGGAACAGTCACTCAGGATTGGATCCAGATGGCTTTGGAACATCTCTAGGGAAGGAGAATCCACAACCCAGCACTAGAACCAGACAGAGAACTTGCTGCAGGGGCTTTCTGAAATTTAGTTCCTAAAACAGGTCACATGTCCTGTCCAAATTCCTCTCTTCTTACTCCAGCTTTCCTGCCCTGTTACTGCAGGGCTGATAGAAATCTGGGGAGTCAGTGGAGCTGCACCTGTGGTGGGACCACTTTCACCACCCAAACTGTCAGTTTGGATGTGCTGATCACATTTGTGTCTGGCTTCACTTGCATCCAGCTGTAAAGCCTGCAAATCCCTGGAATCTGGGAGAGAGGAGGCAGCAGCTGGCAGAGCCCACCCATGCATTGCTCACTAGTTTCTTTTGGGGTCATTTCAGAGAATTTCCCCACTGTTCAGAGTGATTTTGGGTTGAATTTTGTTGCAGTGAACAATGTGTCATCTGCACAGGTCTGTAAAGGAAGTTTTACTTCACTAATCTTAGTTTCTGGGTAACACCTTGTGGGTGGCCAACAGCAGAACCCCAGAGCCACCTCCCATCACTGGCCAGTTCAAACCAGCCCAGGACTGTGTTCAGTGACTCCTCTCTCTCTCTATGGCTTTCAATGTGTAATTCATCCCTTGCTTTGAGCTGAATCACTTTGTTTTCCCTCTCAAGAAGTACATGAAAGTACATCAAAGCACGAGAAAAATTACAAGATTGATTAGAAAACTTGGCAGTAACTTGTGAACACCTTCTGTCCTGCTGCCCTGTGCTGCTCAGGGCCTTCTGGGCACAGGCAGGAATGCAAACCAGGCAGACACCTGGTTGTGTGGCACAGCTGTGCTGGATGGCTTGGGAATACAGTGGGCAGCTGAAGTCAGGGAGCTTCTCCTGGGTAGTTTAGAGGTGCTTCCTTTCCGGTCAGACGTCTCAGTAGCAGCCAAAAGTTGGGATAATTATGGATAATTAACGCTGCTTGCAGCTGGGGTGGAGCACGTGGGTGATGGAAAACCCCAGGATAAGAGTATTTGGAGGAGAGGTGCTGCTCTGTCTCCACCTCAGAGACCTGGCTGTGGGCAGGATCAGAAGGAAAAGGTCTCAGGGAAAGGGCTCTGTTTGCTTACGATGCCCTCGGGATGAGCGGGAGGCTGGAAGAGGATTTCCCACTGGAGCTGGTGCCAGGAAAGGGCAGGGTGCTGGCCAGGAATGTGAGACAGCATTTGGGAAGGATGGTGCCTCAGGGCTGTGGTGTCTGGGTGAGCCTGGCAGAGGGGCAGGGCAGGAGGGGGTGAGTAAGCAGAGTGGAAAAACAGCCGTGGTGGATGGAAACAGCCCATGGTGCCGAGCCCTGGCTGGGAGCTGCCAGCGGAGCAGCTCCTGGGACATCAGCCATGTCCCTTGGGAAGGGCTCTCTGGTGTCTGAGTGTGTGGCAGGGCCATGGCAGGCTTGGTGGAGGTTTGAGGAATCAGTGCAGGTCCCTCTGGATATCCAGACTCCCCTCCTGCAGCAGAGCAGAACCTGAACTTCTGGAGCCAGCAAGACCTCCAATGGCCTGGACTCAATGGAGCTTCCCCTGGTGCAAAAGGGCTCTGACTTCTCTCTTTGCTGAACTCGAATTCTTTCCCCCTCCAGCCTTCTCTGCTGCCTGGACAGGCTGTCTTGTTTCCAATCAGTCCTTGTCTTCTTTGCCCCACGTAGTTTTCCATTTTCCCACTGCTCTTCCCACCCAGGCTCTCTCAAGCTGGAGCGCTGCTCCCGTGGTTTGCAGGACTGCTCTCTGTTTGTTGTTAATCTGCTTTGGCTGAGTGGCTCAAGAGAGGACGGTCTGGGTGCAGAGATGGAGGTCCTGCTTCTTTCTTCTTTTCCCCAAAAGCCAGACTCTTCTCCCTGTGGCAGCTTCCACACCAGGCACTGCATCCTTGTCACCGAGCGAGCGCTCTCCCATCTCCTGAAGGACTCAACCTATCTCTCTGGAGGCTTGCCAGGATCTGTCCTTTCCCTGACCTTACCTCTGGGGCAATCCTTATTCAGGCCTTAATCACATCCTGTCTAGACTTTGTTGCAATTCCCGCTTTTATGGTCTCCTGAAATCCCTCCAGCCCGTGGAGTGCCAGAGGAACCAGCGCGGTGCCGACGGTGGCACACGAGGTGTCCAGCGTGGGCTTTGGCCTCGGTGATCCACCTCTAATGGACCTGGAGGAACCTTTCCAAAGCCCTGAAGCACTGGCACAGTGTGGGTCATGCTCATACCCTCCTCAGCTCTCCTCTCTGCCCTCCTGACAGGGTCTGCAGGTCAGGATGGGCCTCCCTTCTGCTCTGGAGCTCCCAGCTCTGCAGAGCCTGGAGGACAAGGACCAGCATGCCCAGGGTGATGCTCTTCTCTGCAGAGCAGGAGGCTTTCCTACCTCTCTCTCTCTCTCTCTTCCCAAGTGCTGCACTGCAAGTTTCCAGCTCTCCTGTGCTGGGCCAGGATCTCCAGCTCCCTGGTTTGGTGGGTGACTGAGTGTGGCCAAACCCTACTCCCTGGCACAGGTGTTTCAAGCTCATTTTCAGCCTTTTTTAGACACTTTAATTTGGGTGAGAATACCACAAACCTGCCTTTACCTGCTCCCTCCACCACACTGGTCCCACTTGCTCTGTCCCTTCTTCACTACCATTTAATATCCCCCTCTTCCTCATTTTCACACCATTTCCCCACCTGCACAGCCACTGCTTGCTCAGTGTCTCAGGGCTGGTGTGTGACCCATTAAGGTTTTCAGAGCCTGCTCACCCCTGATGTCCATGACAGAGGAATATTTGCTCCAGAAAAGGCAGGGTGAGGGTCAATGTTGACAGCTAAAGCCTTCACCATGGAGCTCCTCTTGGCAAGTGTGGTGGTTTGTCTTCCTCAAAGCCTGACTGAGCATTTCAGCTCCTTCCTGAGGGTGTGAGTTCCACGGTGATAATCTTGGGAGAAAAAAATAATGTGTGAGGCAACAAAAGAGGGTAAATAAATGCAGTGTGGGCTAAGAGGCTGTTGAGAAGTTCTTCCCCCAGAGGGTAGTTGGCACTGAACAGGCTCCCCAGGGCAGTGGGCACAGCACCAAGGCTGCCAGAGCTCCAGAAGGTTTGGATGATCCTCTCAGGGACAGAGTGGGACTGTTGGGGTGTCTGTGCAGGGCCAGGAGTTGGGCTCAGTGATCTTTGTGTGTCTCTTCCAACTCAGGATACCCTGTGATTCTATAAGTCTTGGAGAAGGTGCATTTAATATGGATACATCCAGAAGGAAAAATCCAGGAGCAAAGGGACAGGTCATGCCCATCCCCAGCGTTGTCTCCTGTTCTCCCCTTGGGAGCCACACTAGCCCACTGCTCCTGCCTTCCCTCCTGGCTTTCAGCTGCTCTTGGATTCCTTCAGGAAACACTTTAAAGGTGTCCCTTTATGCTGTCACAGGGCTTTGCCCGTTCTGTGCTGCAGTTGGTCGGATCTCTCAGCAGCAGAGGCTTTGCTGTTTGCTGTGGGGCAGAGCACACCCAGATGAACAGTGTGGAGACAGCAGGGTCAGCCTTTGTGGATATTTTTTTCCTCCCTGTGAAATCTGTTGACATCCCCCTGAAGGTGTGTGACAATCCCCATGTGGCCTTGGTCACTCCAGCAAGAGCACAGGGGTGTCCATTGATCCTCAGAGAGTCCTTCCATCCTCTCAGCTGTTGGATTTCTGGTTTTTGGGGCAGGAAATTAGTTTTGGGAAATACACAAAGCTATTCTGCCTCTCCAAGGAGCAGCTCTGGTGGGTTCTGTGTCTTGCCTGGGTGAACTCAGACATGTTTCTTGTTTGTTTGCTCTTCGCTTTTACGAGCCCTGTGATTTTTCGGGGTAGATACCGGGTCTGTTTGCCCAGGGTTGTTAGAGACAGGTCACAGCTTGTCAGCAGAGTGGTGGCAACCCAGGGCAGAGCTCCACGTGACTCCCCCCTTGTCCCTGCTGCCCCATGGCCACCCATGAGTTGAGTTTCCCTGTGCTCAGCGCTCAGGTGACCTCCACCACCCCTTTTGTGTGGAGCTGCTCTAAGGCCAAGTGTCTTCCTGGAAGCAGCATCTCAGAGATCCTCTCACATAACCCACACTGGGTGTGCTTTTATCTTCTACACCCTGAATTCAGTCCATCCCATCTACCCATAAAACCCCAGTGTTACCTGTAAATCCTTTTCATGTAATTCTGTTTCCAAGATTCTCTATTGAAACCTGCTTGGTTTTGAAGTGATTTCCTTTTTCCTGCTGATCCTAATCTTTTTTCCTACCCTATAAACTTCCACAGGTAGTAGATCTAAAGTTTTTCCTCCATTTCCAGTGTGACCACTTGCTGGTCATGCTTTTATCTCCTCCACTTTGGGTTGCTGTTCTCAAAATCCCTGCACATCTCTTTTTGGGGTTGAGGAAGCAGTGGTGGCGCCAGACCACGTCCCAGAAAAGTCACCTTTTGGCACAAGGTGGGCATGGGATGAAGCTTCTGGTGCAGTTTGTGCTTGGTTATTCCTTGTATGAATAACGAGGCCAGAAGGAATGGAGAGGGTGGCTGTGGGCACTGGGCCAGCAGAGATCAGAGAGCAGAGAGAGGGATTTTCCAAATAACACAAGGAAGAAGAGCCCCTCCCTGGTTCCATTGTCAGTTAAAGCTCCACCAGTAGCTTTGTGCTTATTGAGAATCCCACAAAAACGAATTTGTGCTGCAAGGAGAAATCTTGTGGCAAGGGCTTGGTTTTGGATTTGGAGCCAGGAGCTGCTGCCCTGCCATGAGACTCAGCACCATGTGATTGATGAGTGTCACCCAGCCTGCCCCCCTCAGGACGTGTGTCCATCAGCTGCTGGGCACGGGGACAAGCTGTCCCTGTGAGCAGTGAGCAGGCCCTGTCTGGGGCAGGGTCCCCTCCCCACGGCCCCTGGGACACCCCCTGGCTGTTGTTTGCTTTTGCAAAAGGGGGGCTGAAAGGCCACAGAGCCGTCCCTGCTGGAGGTGGGTGTTGCAAAGCAGCTTTCCTGTGCTGAGGGAGGTTTTGGGGAGCACACCCCAAGGTGTCCTGTGCTGGGTGAGTGCTGAGTGTGGTTGGGCAGCCTGCAGGTCTGGCACCCAGTATGCCAGGCACTGTGCCCACTGCCAGACTGCACCACTGCCTGGCATTGCTGGGGACAGGGACAGGTCAGGGCAGGCTCAGGGTGGATCTCAGGGAAAGGTTCTTCCCCCAGAGGGTGCTTGGCACTGAACAGGCTCCCCAGGGCAGTGGGCACAGCCCCAAGGCTGCCAGAGCTCCAGGAGGGTTTGGACAACGCTCTGAGGGACAGGGTGGGATTGTTGGGGTGTCTGTGCAGGGCCAGGGGTTGGCCAGGATGGTCCTTGTGGGTCTCTTCCAGCTCAGGATACTCTGTGATTCCCTGATCTTGGGAGGTTTCTGTGCCCCCAGCTCCTGCTGGAAGGCAGGACAGGCTGTCACCTTGGCTGTGGCCCAGTGAATGCACCCAGCTGCTCACCCCTGGGAGGCTCCTGGCTCAAGGGTCTCCAGTACAGTGCAGAAGCTTGTTCTGATTTTAAAGATCACATTAATCTGTACTGATTGAACTGGGGACCAAAGGCAAGAGCCAGAGCAGAACTAAATTCACCTTTCCCACTGCTCTGGAGGAGCTCCCAGCTCCTGAGACACTGCTGGGGCACAGCACTGGGCAGACACTTGGGTCAGTGTTTCCTGTCCACCCACACGTGGTTCAGAGGTGTCAGGTTTGTTCCCTGCAGCTGCTCTCGTGGCTCCTGCTGTTGGAAAAGCCAAACTGTATTTTCTCACAGAGAACAGCGAGGAGCTCCCTCGTGAGTGTGCTCAGGGTGACCAGATCTGCTTTTAGGCTGCAGCTTCTCCAACGTGCTGGGATCAGTCAGCAACAATTCCCTCCTCCTGCTCTGATTTATAACTTATGCAAATGGGAAGTGACACAAGGCAGCACAGAGGGTGTGTTTGTGTGGAGTTAAACTGTCTGGCAGGTTTATCCCTCCTGTCACAGGACTCCACAAGCCCCAGTAAGTGGAGAGGAGCCTCATCTGGAGCTGGCTGGGAGAAATTAGCAGAAATCAGCCCCTTGGGAAGGGGTGCCTGGGCTGCCTGCTGTGGCTGGAGCGTCTCCCTAGGGTGGAGGACACTTCCAGGACACTGTCTCAGTGCCCAGAGATGGATTCCTTACAGCTGCTTCCCTGCTGCTCTTGTGCTTCCAGGTGACCCTGTTTGTGTACTCGGACCTGCTGCTCTTCACCAAGGAGGACGAGCCCGGGCGCTGCAACGTGCTGAGGAACCCCCTGTACCTGCAGAGTGTCAAGCTCCAGGAGGGTGAGTGCCTGCAGCAGCGATTGGAGGCAGCTGGGAAATGTTCTGGCTGCCAGCTGTAAAGGTTTCTGGCCAGCAGCAGGAGAGCACCCCTCTGTCCCGCTGCTCCCAGTGTGTGCCATCCAACTGGTGCTCCCAGACCACCCTTCCAGGGGTGCAGGGCCAGCATCACCCTTCCCATCCCTGCATCCCTGGGAGCTCCATCTCCTGGGACACCTCAGGGGCACTCAGGGAGCCCCCCTTTCCAGGGCTTTCTGGGTGCATGTCTCAGGATTTGGGGCTGGGGGGCTGTTCCCCTTGCTGGTGTCACACTGTCTGCAGCGGGGACCGGCCGAGGCTGGGAAAGGGAAGTGAAGATTTGAGGTTTCCCCTGTGGTGCCTCGAGGGAGTTCAGAGATTGGCTCCAAGGGTGACTGGCCAAGCCCTGCTGACCTTTACTTTGCTACTTCTCGCTTCAGCCACCCACAGTTTCCCCTCTGCATCCATCCCTCTGCAACCCCACTGGGGTGGAAAGAGCAAACCCTGCCCTCAGGCCGGGGCTGGGGACCTTGCCCTGGCTCTCTCCACCTCTCCTAGCCCTACCAAGACCTTGGAGAGGGCTTCTAGGGCAGGGAGTGCCTCAAAATGGGTTATTTCAAGTTGAAGTGTACAAGAGATGCCCTTTAGCTACTCGGGGTCAAAAGAGGAAGAGTGAATTGCTCTACCACATCCTATTTGCTGCAGTGGAGACACTTCTTGGCCCTGGGCCCATTCTCACCTTGTTCCTTTTCTGGTGTGGTTGCTTTTTGGGTATGGGCTTGTTTTGTGTACAGTTCCCTGGTGCCCCAGCTCCTCCTCCAGCCCTGGCAGTGGGTGGTCCTGGACTGGGACCCCATGTGGGAAATTGGGATTTGATTTAAGGAAAAGTTTCCTGTGATGAGGTTGGTCAGATGCTGAGCTGCCCAGAAGAGGTTGTGGGATCTCCATCCCTGGAGATGTTCAGGATTCAACTGGACACAGCCCTGAGTGCCCTGGTCTGGGGGCTTTGAGCAGGGGGTTGGACTCCAGAGCCCACCAGAGGCCCCTTCCAACCTGAATTACTCTGGAACTGATGAGCCAATGTCTTTGTGCAGTCCTGTGGCCCTGACCAGAAAGGATTCATCCAGATCTGGGTTGCTTCTCCAAAGGGATCATTTTGTGGATGAATTTTGCCACTTCCCAAGCCTTTTCCCATCTGAGCCACGAGCTCTGTGGCTGAGCTGCGTCTCTCCACGTGCCCCACGTTGTTCTGAGCCTCAGTGCTGGACACCACAGGCTGCCTCTCGCTTGTTATTTCCCATTTCCAACAATGCTTCTGCTTCCAGATGAATTCCCTGACCTACTTGGTGGGAGCAGGAACACAGTGAGGGAGATGGGGCACCACGGTGGGAGCCATTGAGAAAAGCCATCGAGGCTCCCCTGGGGTTTGCTGAGTGTGCTCTCAGCCCTGCTGATTGCTAAGAAAGGGACAAAAGAAACTGTTCCTTGTTGAAGTGCTTGTGGTCAGTGCCTGCTCCCTGTGTGTGCTGGGCCTGGCTGCTCCCACAGGCTGGGGAATAACTCTGCTCTTGTCCACCTGCTTGGAGAAATCAGCTTTCCCTGGTGCTGCTCCTGGCTCTGCACACCACGCTCTGTTTGCAGCTCAGCTCAGGCACACTGGATTTTGGGAGCAGTTTTGTGGCACTGGTTTCCTTGCTGTGACAATAACTTGGCTGGATCACGTCTGGAACAGCCTCTCAAGCCCCTCCAAAGGGGATGGAGGTCCCTACAACACCGAATGGCCCCCCATGCACCAGGAACCCAGCACAGCTGCTGTTCAGGCAGCTCAAGCCCTGGTGCTTTGGGCAGGGCTGCTTCAAAGAGCAAGAAGATGTGTGTCCCTTCTGGCAGGGCTTTTCCCTGCCCTGCTGACGGAGGGAACGATGCAGGAATAGGAACAGGCTATTGCTGAGCACAACAATCGGGACATCTCCGGTACACTCAGGACCATTGTGCTGTTTCCTGTCCCTGCGCTGGGCGAGAGCAAATCAGCCTGATCTGCTTCACAATGCGCTGTCTTCCTGCCTTAGAAGCTGCTGATGAGCCCTGCTGCAGCCAAGGTTCCCAGGGAGACAGGCCTGGCTTCCTCACTAGACACTGTGGGAATTTCCACGCTGGGATCCTGCTCCCCCTGGGTGGGCGTGCTGGGCTTTGGGACAGAGAGGCGTGTTCCTGTTTGCAGCTGGCTGAGCACCCCCATCTCCACCCAGGATCCTGCAGACGAGGACTTCTCATGTGCTGCTTCGCTGTCCTTGGCATCCCAACCTGCTGTGTCTTGCAGCTCCAAGACAGGCCAAGAGGGTGGTTTATGGGCCTTCTGTCCTGCCACAGCTTCTCCTGGCTGGCCCAGGGGGGCTGGAAAGCACCCATGGCTTGCACCCTGCCACACTTCCCCAGGGACCTGTGTCACAGTGGGGGACAAGCCGGTCCCCTCTTGGCAGCCAGCTGTATGTGTGCCCTCTGTGCCCTCCCAGCACCCTGCCCTGAGCAGATGTGAGGATCTGGGGGTCAGGGTGTCTGCCCTCACCCTGGGCAAAGGAGCAGCACCACCACCTTCCCTCTGCTCCCTTCCTTTGGACCTGGCACCAGACACACACCACCTGAATCCTGGGTGTTTTCCACGGGCTGCACAGGGAAGTGGCAGAGCCAGGGCGGTGCTGGAGCTGTGTAAGTCAGCGTGGGTGTGCAGGATGAGGCTTAGCTGAGAGGGGGACGTGTCCCCACAGAGCTCACACTCTCCCCTGGGTGCTGAGCACGCCCTGGCACAGGGACAGTTCACGTTGCTCTGGAAGCCAAGCCAGTCCCCAGCACAGCACAGCAGGAAGAGAAGGAAATATCCTCAAGTGAGTTTTTTAAATCCTGCTTTCTTCCTTTTAGTTTTCCCCTGAATTTGGCTGACAGTGTGTGCTGTGCTGCTGTCACAAAGATGTGGGGAGCATCTGCTGCCTCTGTGGTGTGAGGTTGTGCCTCTCTCCATGTCTTTCATGGTCTCGGTGTTCATCCCATGGCTCCAGGGCACATCAGGCTCTGGTGCTCCAGCCTGACCCTCCTGGAGGTTTGAAAATGTGGAAAGAATTCCCTCCTGTGGAAGGAATCCTGGCAAACCTGGTTTTGGTGGAATCTGCCCCCGGTCTGCCCTTCCTGGCTCTGCCATCACCCTCCAGTCTCCCCTCGTGCCTTGCCAGGGCTCGGCCCTGGCTCCAGCCCAGCTGCTGGGCTGGGCAGTCTCTGACCTCCCTTTGTGCTGCCTAAAGGCAGTTACTGGGAGAAAATGGGTATTAGGGCATTCCTTGGCCTAGAGTGGCTCCCTGCTGTGTGTGTCCTGTAGGCACTGGGCTGCTTGGCCATGGGCAGCAGCAAATCTTGGAGGGACAGGGAACAGGAGCTGCTGGCTGTGGAGGTTGTGCCAAGATTCGTAGCTCAGTGGAGTGGAATTTGGAAGGGAACTTAATTCTGATGGGTCTGGACCTTGTCAGAACCAGAAGGAATCAACAGGAGCCCAGGGTTGTTCCCTGGGCTGTTACACCCCACTGTCACCTTTCTTCACTGAGGATGACTTGTTCCTCACATCACCCAGGAAGATACAGCTCAAGCTCCTGAGGGAACATGGCTGGGATGTGCTGGTCTTCTGTAATCTGCCTTGCAAGGCACCCTGGAGAGCTTTGGTCGTGGTGCAGGGAGGAGCAGAGCCTGGCTGAGGAGCTGGGTGTTGTACTGCTGACCCCTGGGGAAGGAGGAGCAGCAGCAGGGGACGGTGGACTCGTGGTGTGCCAGCACCTGGTTGAATCCTGCCTCCAAATCCTCCCATGGCTCCCATCAGAGACTTGGGCTCAGCAAGGAAAATGTTCCCTGATGGTCCTGCTGGGATTTATGGAAGAGGGGAACAGTGAATGGTGTTCTGTGGTGCAGAGGTGAGCCATGGGCTCCCAGCCAGGCCCGTTCACCACGTGCTCTTCAAGGGTCCAGCACGGCTCTCCTTCTGGAAGTGGAGATTTGGAGGGGCAGCCCTGGGGCCAGGCTGCTTCCCTGACCCTCAGCTTGGCCAGGGGAGCACAGGGAAAGTTTTGGGAACACACAGGGGTTCCTCATGGTGCTGGGCTGCAGCAGCTGCTGTGACACAGTGTCCTGGTGTCTCCTTGGTGATTTTCCAGCCCATCTCCTGCACTGTGCTTTAGAAGTGAAGCTGGCAGTGGAGACAAACCTGCAGCCCTCCAAAGGGCAGGTGGAAGAGACACCCAGCAAAGGGCTCCAGACCACTTCTTCATGGGTTTCTCATTGCCCATGGGGTGACTCAAGAGGCATCTGAGTCCCTCAGTGGGTTACAGCTCTTATCTTGCCATTTGCCTGCTGCAGCAGCAGAATTGCTTTCCTCTGGGGGACAGGGTGTTTCCAGCACTGTGCAGAGCCTCTTCCCACTGAGCACAGCTCAGGCTGCTGAAATGAAGCAGAGCTTGTGCTGACACTGCTTTCAGTGGGATCTGCAGCCGTGCCCAGGCTGCAGCTCTGATCTCATGGCACAGGTAATGAGCTCGTTAAGGGCATTAGGAAAGCTGCAGGCCTGTGGTGCTGCCAAGGGCAGAGCTGGTGCAGGGCAGAGTGGTGTGAAGGAGCAAACCAGCTCCTGGAGATGGGCTGTCCTGGTTTGGAGCTCAGGTGAGCCTGTCCTGCTGCAGCTTTGTGTCCTCCTATGAGACTGAGGTGTGCCAGGAGCTGCTCCCCTCAGGGCTGGGCACACACAGAGGCCGGGGCAGATCTTCAGGGATGCCTTTTTGTTGGGTACAGGGAAGGTCAGATCTGCAGGAACCAGCCTGGTGGAGCAGCTGCAGTATAACCCATCCCCTGGGACAGCTGGCAGCAAGTGAGGAGCTGCACTGGGCTGCTCCATGATTTGGCAAGGTGTGGATCAGTGTTGGTCATTGCATTGTCTGCAGCACCGTCTCCTTTCCCAAAACTGTGGAAGGGCAGGTTCCTTGGCCAGGTCTCCCACTCTGTGGGAGCTTGGGGGCTTTGCCCTCAGCCCAGTGGAGCAGGATGAGCTCTTCCCTCTGCCCATGTCAGCCACTTCCCATTGCCCTGGGATTCGGCTCCACGTCCTTGGAGAGTCACTGTCCCCAGCCACTGGTACGATGGAGGCTGGGACAGACAGGAGGACAACCAGGGCCACCCAAGGGTGTGGGGCAAGAAGCTGGGAATGAGCAAGGATGTGGGGAGAGGAGCTTCTCTGGGAGCAAAGTGCCCACAGAGGTGAGGTGAGAAAAACCCATCCTTGGCGCCCAGGGTGGCACTGCAGGACCTCCACACCCCGGGGAAGGTGCCACAGGCTGCATGTGCCAGGGCAGGTTGGGCAGGAGAGCCAGCACTTGGCCTCTGAAGGAAACAACCCCTTTTCCAGAGGGATGATCCCAAAGGAGAATCCATGACAGCGCAGTGAGCCCATGCAGGATTCCACGGCCGGGCCCGCCCCGGCAGATGCCACAGACATCACCCAGCTCACAGCCTGGTACTGCAGGGGCACAACAACAAACATCCATTCAGTGCTGTCCCTCAGCCAGTTCCTCAGCCAGTGGCTCCACTGGCAGAAATGCAGCTGCAGCTTCATTCTGATCCTGCTTTTCCTTCGTTCCAGGTTCAGAAGATCGGAAGTTCTGCCTCCTTTACCTTGCAGAGGTGAGTGGTGCTGTTTTCCACCTGAACTTTGTAGTTGGGAGCTGAACATGTAAGGCCAGCTCTGCTCCCTTCTGCTGGGGCAAGGAGCACCGAACAGGCTGATTTTAACTTCCTTTTTAATTGATTTGCCAGAGTTCTGGGAAAGAAATGTAATGGCTGTGGCCGGGATATATGAGTAAGAAGCTGCTAAAAGGAGTGTGTGAATGAGGAGGCTGGGCAGCACTGGGACAGGCTTCTTTTCCCCTTCCCCCTGTGGATCTTCCTTGGGGCATCTCACTTTTGTTTTGGGGTTCTTTCACCTAGGGGCAAGTTTTCCTTGTCTTTATTTTTGAAGGCATCTTGCTTTTCTTGTCTTCAAGCACCCAGGTTTGAAGGCCTCAAATACAATAAGGAAGCTCAGTCTAAAAGACAGAATTATAGCTCTAAACCCACGTGTGGCTAAATGCTCTGACCTGAGGAAAGCTCAGCTGGTCAGGGCATGGTTCTAAGAACACCAGGGTTGTGGGTTTGGTGCCCACAGGGCCACTCACTTAAGAGTTGGACTTGATGATCCTTGTGGGTCTCTTCCAACTCAGAATATTCTGTGATTCTGTGAACCAGGTTTGGGGTCACTCAGACACTGGCACAGCCCTGTTTGTGCCGTGAGGCAGCCAGGGAAAAACTGCAAAATTGGTTCACACTGACTGGACCTCCCTAATCATCAAACACTGTGGGTTTTTTTCCTTTTCAAGTGACTTTGCCGTGTTCCTGCTTTCAAGGCCTTGCATTTTCAGAGGGGAAACGTTGGATCTGGGAAAGGTTCCCCAGGGCACACAGGAGAAAGGCAAACATTGCTCAGCAGCAGCACAGAATAATGAGCTATTGTGGAAGTTGGGTGCAAATGCTGCGAGTGGAAGTTGCTCACCTTGAGTGGCTGGAGCGGGGCCAGGGCACGGCCGGCTGACGAGTTCCCTCTTACGTTTCCTCTTGTTCCTTCCTCGTCTCCCCCGTCCCTCCCTGGGGCAGGGGCTGAGCTGCTCCTGGGGTTTTGCTCGGTGTGTGTCCCGGTGTGACGTCAGCCTGGCCTGGGCTCCCTCCCAGCTAATCCTGGGCTGTGACTCAGGTTGGGGATGAGGCACTCGGGCATTTTCTCAGGAAAAATGCATCCAGAGCCTGAGATTTCATTTAGGAGCTCTGGGCCCCTCAGGAGAAGGGGCTGCAAGAGAGCTGGCTGTGTTTCATGAGCTCTTGAGAGGTGAAGGAGCTGTCTTTGTCAGGGTGTAATGAAGTGCTGGGCTTTCTTCTGAGGGGCCTAATTGGCTGTAAGAGCTGTGGTGATGGAGATTCCTGACATCCATTGTGGTTGGAGTGCAGGAGTTGGGTAGAAAATGGGAAATATTTGCTTTCCTACCTGCATGCTCCTCCTCAGAGGACAGTAGGTCTGGACTGACCATACTGATGGGATTCTGCAAATCCCCTCTTGTTCCTCCTGTTTCCCAGGGTGTTTTGGAGCAGGTCACAGGTGGAGTGGGATCTCCCTGACCCACAGTGACCAGCAGCTGTGCCTCGTGGGTGTTCCCCCCTGTGCTGTGCCAGCCCAGGCTCTCAGGTGACACTGGGACAGCCCCTGGCTCAGGGATGACACCTTGCCAAGCAGGATGTTCCCTGTGCCATCCCTTCCCTGCCAGCCCCCACGGGGTTGCCTTGAGGCTGCACTGAGCCAGGGAGATCAGCACATCTGGCTTCAGGGTGAAGGGGACAGTGAAAGTCCAGCTGTAGGTGGTGGCTGGAGCAGGAGAGCAGCAACCTCTCAGTTCTGCAGCACAGGGGTTGTGTGGCTCAGGGGACTGCCCTTGGTGGGGTTAGACCCTGGGTGAACAGAGACAGGCTCTTCTGAAACGATGGGATGCTGTTGAGGGATGCCTGTGGGATGGTCCCCTCAAAGACATTCCTGCAGGATGGCTGCTCACAGGAGCATTGAGGGGGATTTTGGGTGCCTGGCTGGGCTGGTGGGAGTGTGGGTTTGGGGTGTGAAGGTTATTTTTGCAGTGGGCTGGGTTTGAGGCATGGCCTGCAGGGGTGGATTCCCATGGAGAGGGGCTGGCTCTGCTTTGGGGACATCCTCAGGCTGCTGGGAGTTGGGGTGCAGGGGGGTCAGGAGGGCACCCCTGGCAGGATGGGGGGTGGCACTGGCACACTCTGGCACCTTCAGGGTCCCAGAGCTGTGGGGCAGCAGTGCCCTGCAGCTGAGTCCTGCTGCCCACCCTGGGGGTGCTTGTGGCAGCTAGGAAGGGGAAGGATGGATAAGAAAGGATAAGGAGGGATAAGGATGCCCAAGGGAAGGGTTAGGGTGCACGTGCTGATGTGGCTGTTTGGTCCCGTGTCTCCCTGAGGGCTCTGTCCCCCTCCTGGCCTGCTCCTGCCCTGCTCCCTGCAGCACATGCTCCTTGCCTGGCCTTACCAGCAGCTCTGGACCTGCCAGGAGCCTTCTGCTGGCTCAGCCCTTGCAGCTACTCCCCCTGGCTGGGGGTGGGGGCTCTGGGGCATCGGTGCTCAGTGTGATCTGAACTCCTGGGCAGACACATCCCTTGTGCTGCTGTGACAGGGCTGGGGGATGCTGGAAGCTCCTGTGCTGCTGTTTCTTGCCCACAAATCATCTGCAATGAGCACTAATGTGTTTAGTGCTGCTGTGAGCTCAGAGGGAGCCCGGGGGCTGGGCTGACACTGCCTTTGCTGAGGGGAGAGCTGTCTGCTGAAGCCTGGAGCTGCAGCCTCCTGCTGCTGCTCATCTTGAGGGTTCCTGAGTAATGTTCTGACCCATGAGGTCACACATTTGCATTTGCCTGTGACGTGATCCAAAATGAAAGCACGTCCCCATGTCTGGGAGTTGCTTAATTTATTTTAAACAAGAGAGAAGATTTCAACCTTGGGGGAGTGTCACAGAAAAGCCTCTGGTAGTCATCCTGTCTGACTGTGTGCAATAAATCACTGCACAGAGTTTAAACCCTGCACAGTGTGGTTATTTGCAGGCACAGAGCTAACACTGAGCCTGGTGTGGGTTCCAGCACAAGGGGTGTTTGTTTTACAGGCTCTTCAAGGTGTGGATTGCAGTGTTTGGAGATCCTGAGTGCAAGTGGCCCTGGTTCTGGGCCAAATACAGGTTGGTGTTGGAAAGAATGCAGAAGTAGAGGAAGGTTCTCCTCTGAGCTGGCCCGTTTGGTGAATTTGTTCCTTCTGGTGGTCGTGTGGCAGCTCTGGTAGTCCCAGCACATACACAAGATTTTGGAAGTGAAGGTGGTACATTTTGATCTCAGGATCAGGCAGCTGTTCCAATGCTCTGCCACCCTCCATGGAAAGAAGTTCTTCCTCATGTTGAGGTGGAACTCCTTGTGTTTTAGTTTATGGCCATTACATCTTCTCTAACTTTTCTATTTGCCAACTGATGTGTGCAAAATTCCTGCCACTGTGTTCAGACCTGGCCTAGGGCATCATCCCTTTCAGGATTTTAAACCCAAATAGCACAGTGTGTGTGTTTCTGTTGAGCAAAGCCTGTCTGCAAGAGCTTTGCACTGATTTGAGCTCTGGAATTGAGTGCCACTGGAGGAGGTTGCCCAGAGAAGCTGTGGCTGCCCCAGCCTTGGAAGTGTCCAAGGCCAGGCTGGACGGGGCTTGGAGCAACCTGAGATAGTGGGAGGTGTTCCTTGGCAGGGGATGGAATGAGATGAGCTTCAAGGTCCCTCACAGCCAAACCAGTCTGGGATTCTGTGATCCAGTGTGGACCCACATTCCTCACCCCAGAGGACCTGGAGTGTGGGGGTTTGGCCCCATTTTTCCCCGACCTCCCCAGTGCCATTCCCTGCAGGGCACACCCCCCTCCTGGGGTGACATGTGTAAAACCTGTCAGAAGAACATTTGCTGCCTGGTGGGAAGGAGCAGCCTCAGAGGGACCAGTGTGGAGCCCTGAACGTGGTCCAGGGCTGTATTCACACCCTTCCCTGCTCCGGAAATACCCTGCTGAGAGGAAACTGCACATCAGTGGTTTATTGCATTGTTAGATGTGTTTGATTCAAACCCAACATATTCAGACCAAATTGACTTCAAATCAAACAGCTCAGCAAGTTTTTCCTTTGAAAAGCACTTGCAGATTTGATCTTTTTTCTCTGGAAGTTTTCATCTGCAGACACTGGGAAGAAAGAAAATCTTTCCAGTAGCAACTCCTTGTGCTGCTGTGATGAGCAAATTGATGCTGTGAATCTGTGCTGGAGCTTGTTTTGCCCTGGAGATGCCCACCTTTACTGCCCAGGGAGAGCCTCTGTCAGAGAAATGCCACTGTCCCCCTTTGCCCAGGTCACAGAATCCCAGACTGGTTTGGGTTGGGAGGGACCTTAAAGCTCATCCAGTGCCACCCCCTGCCATGGGCAGGGACACCTTCCACTAGCCCAGGTTGCTCCAAGCCCTGTCCAACCTGGCCTTGGACACTTCCAGGGCTGGGGCAGCCACAGCTTCTCTGGGCAGCCTAATCCTCTGTGCCCTGGCTCTGTGTGGGCACATCCCTGCACCCACAGGTGCACAGGTCCCCTGTGGACACTGTTCCTGTTCCCACCCTTGGCCTGTGTCCTGCTGCTGGCAAGGGAATGCTCAGTTTTGTCAGGGCAGGCTCAGGGTGGATCTCAGGGAAAGGTTCTTCCCCCAGAGGGTGGTTGGCACTGAACAGGCTCCCCAGGGCAGTGGGCACAGCCCCAAGGCTGCCAGAGCTCCAGGAGGGTTTGGATGATCCCCTGGGGCACTTGGGGATGGGCCTGTGCACGGCTGGACTTGATGATTCTTGTGGGTCTCTTCCAACTCAGCATAATCTGGGAATCTGTGATTTAATGCCCTTTGGGACGTGGCATTGTCCCAAAGGGAAAGAGCAGGGAGAACCCAGGTTCCTGTCTCCATCCAGCAGATCTGAATGCTGGAAAAGTGATTTCCTGATGGCACAGAGGATGTCAAGGCTCAGGGACAGGCTGGGACGTGGCAGG